CATGCATCAGGATATCTATATTTTTCTTCATCATTTGATGTATTTGTGCTTACTGTGGTTTTGTTTCTTGTATACTGATTATTTTTAGCTTTGATTTATAGCTTTAATTTAAAGTGTAATTCTTGTTTTGTGATTTGTACGTCAGTGGGTGGTTGAACTTTGGTACTTCTTTCAATATATTTGAGGGAAATATTCCTAATAATTTTGTCTTTATGATTTTTCAGCTGTGTTAACTTTAATTAACATATTACTTAATAAAGTCAAAGTGAAAACAGGAGTTCATGATAAAGACAGCACCGTTTATTTATTTTTAATCTTCACTGATGAAAAAAATTATTTTTTTTATACATAGAAAATGTTTTTAAAATAACGTTTCAAACCTCCATCTCGGACTAAGATCATCCCGCCGCCTGACAGGGAAATTCCAGAGAAATAGCAAATAGTGGATCGGTGAAGTTTTTGATCCTGTGACTCCTCCCCCTGACCAATCGGAGTCCAGCATTCACGTTTGAGGCTCGACCGAGCTCGGTCAGTCCCACCAGAGAAGCAGGGGGGGAGAAAAAGAGAAGCAGGGACGAAAAGAGGACTAGAATCAGCCTCAAGTCAGCTAAAATACTAGCTAAAGTATTATTGCAAATGGGTTATTTCTGTGGCGCGCTGCCCATAGCTGGGGCTGAGGCGCAGTGCAAATGGGGCATCTGTGAGCCCGAGGCAACGTTTAGGAGGGGGCTCACACACCCAGGTTTGAAGAGAACAGAGAGGTGGAGGGGTTCTGACCGCACTGATCAGGCAGGAGAGGAGAAAAAAAGGTGCTGCTTTGAGAATGAGAAGGCGCGTTTTAAATTACTGTTTAAAAATTACCATCTCACTCTGTCATGACAATAACAAAGCCACTCATTAATACAAAAGCAGAGTAAATTGTCAACCATTCCCATTCAGAAGGTGGATTGTGTCGAGGCCACGCATTACTTTATATAATACGATGTGACAGCAACATATCCAACTGCCTTGCTTTTTTGGCGCGAACCACGCTAGCGGCGCTATAGAAGCTAACAGGTAGCGCTATCGAAATCACAACTTCACAGAACACACAAATACATACATCTTAACGTGGATTTGATAATCCATCACTTCACCGGTTTGACTTTTCATCGGCTTGGTTAAAAACCAAAGCAAACGTGTAGAGTTTGCAAAACAAAAGTTAGTTAACCGAGTTCCTCTAATAATTTATCTCATCCTCCCAACAGTCAAATAATATATATAAAATACTCTTAACAGTAATTGCTATATGAAGTGGCAATGAAAAGATGTATACATACCTTAATTTAAAAGGATGGATGTAGATGATAGAGGAATGTCTCTCAGACTCTCACATTGAACGGACGACTCTTCATGTGCCAATCACGTGATGACAAGAGACAGTACTGTATATACTGTACATACGGTGTCCAGTAAGGGACAAACTACTTCAGTGCTTTCCGTTTTACTTAACAGAGTTGAGTTGGGGAAATTTAACATTATCATTTAACATTTAAATTAACATTTCTATTTTCAAACAACATAACTAAGTTAAGTTGATGCAAATAATTCAAGTTTTTTGAATAATTTAAACATAATACTATGTTGTATAGCCGACAATAGTGACATTTCTGTTTTTTGAGTGCACTAGCTCAGGAGCCAGGCAGAAGGAGAAATCCCACACAAGACAGGCTCTAGAGCAATGTGGATATCCTAACTGGGCCTTCCTAAAAGCAGAGAAGAAACCCAAACAGGACCCCAGTCAGCCAACAGGTGAAAAGGAGGAACCCAGACCCAGACCAGTGGTCATTCCATATGTTGAGGGAGTATCAGAGAAACTGAGACGTTTATTTTCTAAACATAACGTCCCAGTGGCTTTTAAACCCCAAAATACATTACGGCAAAGACTGGTTCATCCCAAAGATCCAGTCCCCCGGCACAAACAGAGTAATATTGTGTATGTTGTTCAGTGTCAGGAGGGCTGTGATCAGTCTTACATCGGGGAAACTAAACAGCCACTGGCCAAAAGGATGGCCCAGCACAGAAGATCAACATCATCAGGCCAGGACTCTGCGGTCTACACTCATCTCCAGGCCAGCGGTCACTCTTTCAGGGATGAAGATGTTCACATCCTGGACAGAGAGGAACGATGGTTTGAGAGAGGAGTAAAGGAGGCCATCTTTGTGAAAAGAAATCGTCCATCGTTAAACAGGGGTGGAGGCCTCCGGGTTCAACTGTCCCCCTCTTACAATGCTGTGATTGCTAGTATCACTCAGCCCTCTGTGAGTAGTAAACAGCCATCAGTGTGCTAATGATCCATTGTTAGGCTGATGGTCCTTCTTGATCATGTGAGCAGCTGGTTTTGGTTGTCAGCAGCAAACTGGTTGATCCACTCTGAAAAGGTGCTATTTATAAGACTGAGCTGAATACAGCACCTCAGACTGAGGAAGTCTCTCGGATGAGAGACGAAACGTTTCTACATTTTTTTGTTGTTTTGCTTTGTTCTTTTGAATGTCCAGAGGACCAGATTTAACTTTTTTAGACTTTTCATACTACGTCCTTTGTATGTGCCTGTAATATTGAAGGATACGTGTAGGAAAAGTTTTCCATGTTTTCAGTGGTTCAGAAGTGCAAAAACTTACAACTAGAGAAATTGTATTTCCTGTGAAAATGCAGTGTGAATGCTTACTGCAGAGGAACTTGCTGAAAAAAGCTGAAATTAGCTGAAATGGAAGAGCAAGCCTAAGTTAGCATGAGAAAGCAGAAAGAACAGCTGAATTAGGTGTAAATAAGAAGAAAATGGCACAAAAATTAAGAAATTAGCTTTAAAAAAAACCTGAAGTTAGCAAAAAGAAAAATATATAAAAGTAGCCAAAAAGGCAGAAAGAAGTTTCAACTACCAGATGGAAGTGGAAATTAGCTAAAAAATGTGGAATTAGCTGAGAAAGTTAAAATTAGCACAAAACTGCTATAGTAGCTGAAATAACTGAAACTAACAGAAATAAGCTGAAAGGAGCATAACAAGCTAAAATTAGTATATAGAAGTTAATTAGGCTGAAAGTAGCAGCAATTACCACAAAAACATGAATTTATCAGAAAACAGCTGAAATTAGCTCAAAATGCTATAAAGCTAGCTGAAAAGGTAGAACAAACTTAAATTACTAGAAGAAAGCAGAAAGAACAAACCGTTGCCCGATTAGGCTGAAAGAAACAGAAATGAGCACAAAGCAGGGGAAATTATCTGAAAAAGCAGAAATTTGCCAAAAAACAGCTGAAAATTAGCTAAAAAAGTAGAAAGCCTAACTTACCAGAAGGAAGTGGAGAGAGCACATTTTTGCTGAGTTAGGTTGAAAAAGTTGAAATGAGTGCAAATAATGTGGAAGTAGCTGAAAAAGGTAAACATAAAACAGCTAAATAGTAGCTGAAATAGCAGAAAAAGCTGAAACTTGATGAAATATGCTGAAAGGAGCACAAAAAGCTTAAATTAGCAGAAAGAAGTTAGAAGAAGCACAAAAATGTTGTAGTTAGCAGAAAGACTGAAAGGAGCACAAAAAAGCTGAAAAAAAAACAGCTGAAATTAGCTGGTAATTTTTTTTTAAATTTGCGCAAGAAAGCTGAAAGAAGCTGAACCAGAACAAAAAGTGAAAGGAGCAGTAAACGGTTGTAAACAGCTGTAAATATATGAAGGAGGTAAAATGAGCTCAATTCATTTATGAGGAAAAAAGTGGCAGAAAAGGCAAAACATTTCAAAAAGCTGAAATTAAAACCAATACCAAACATAGCACCCTTCTCTTGAACGAGCTGAACGTTTTGATTTATCTTCAAATAAAAAACAACACAAGAAAAAAAAACTTTTTACTACAATATTTCATTAGTTCAGTGAACATTTGATGAACAAAACAATTCATTCTGAGAACATTTTTACATTAAAAAAAATGTAATAAAAGTGTTTTCCGATTGTTGACACTTTTGCTGTTGCGCTTCGTGTTTAGTCGTTTGGCGACTTCTTTTTAAAACATTGATTTAAAGTTTGACTGATGTTTGTTTCTAAAATGATTTTCCTCCACCACGGCATAAATTATACACAGCCGAATATTATTGTTGAGGCTTTGCAAGCTCATTTGTAAGATTATGTCAGAGCTGCCCATCCAGATTTAGATAAACTATAGTGAATAATCAGAGCAAACAAACAAACAAACAAAAACATGTTTTGTTTGTTGTTTTGTCACGTTGTTACGTTTTAAAACCCTGTGGCATCTATGCTAACAGCTTCATTTTTAAACTACAGATAATAATAATAATAATAATTCAGTTGTTTCTTCTTCTTCTTAAATTATGACATTACCTGTTCAAGTCAACCATGTCTGTCTGTTAGCAAAATATCTCATGAACCCCTTACCAGATTTAAATGAACTTCTCAGAAATGTATGCCTGGATATTCATCTACAGCTGATTAACTTTTGGAGACAACACCACTCAAGATGGCCACCACAGCTAATCAACCTTAACAAACACAAATGTGCCTATAACTCAGTTAGTTTTAGAGATACTGAGTTGAAATTTGGTTTAGCAGTGGCTGAGAGTCGTCCCGAACACATAGTCTGAGCACAAACAGATCGCACTGTATCCTTCGATTTCACAAGCGATTGTGCATAACCATTTCAAGGTTCGATAAAAGAAATGCCCAGCAGGTGATACGCATTCAATTTCTAAATCCTGCAGACGTGTCCAGCGCTCCACACTTAAGCAATGATTGTTTTCTTGTTATAAACGATGACTTATGCTTGTAGATTTTTTTTATCAACCTATATATTTAAACTTTTTTTTTTTGCTTTAACGAACCAACCCTTGTGTGATTAGTCTCAATGCTTCAGCATCATCTGCTTCTAGGCTCCGTTGACCACTGGGTGGCGCATGGAGGCCACACATACCCAGCAGAGCAGCTGTGCACGCTCGGATGTGACAAGTTTAGCTCAGTGTCCGTGCACACGCCGGCACGTTTGATGGGATGCGTTTCTGCTCAGTGTTGCCTGGGCACTGGGTGCTGCAGGGTCATGTGCTCGGCTCCTGTGAAAGGCAGTCTGTGGGAGCAGTAGTGATGCACCAGTTCGGGGATGCTGGAAAAGACACAGCTGCTCTGATCCAGCGTGTAGCCCAAGCCCTTGCTGCTTTTAGTCTGCGCCACGATGATGTGCACGCAACTCTGACTGGTCCTAAAAAATAAAAAATAAATCAATTAGTCACGCAAGCAGAAGATCACACTGAAAATGGAAACGTTTTATCCTTCCTTAACGAGGCTTTGGTATTTTGGGAGTTTAGCAGATGTGTACATGTAGAAAATGATGTGGGCTCTCAAATGAATGAGCAGCAAATGTTCACTCGAGCGCACGAGGGCACAACGGTGCCAGAAGTTTTCCAACTTCATCCCAGAGAACCAGCTTCTTGTGTTGTTGCTAAAAGTGTCCGAAGATCCACAGATTCCCTAACTGCACCGTATCCCGTTAAAAAAGGTCAAACCAAGGCCAGCATTCATAATGAAGCATTCCTTTATGAATAAATCTATGTTTGTGTCAATTAATTTATTATTTTATTGAAAATACATGACGGTCTATATACAGATTGTATTAGTTGCTGCCGTTTTTACAGTTTACCTGAGAATAAGACAAATGACGATGAAGTAAAATGGTTAAAACACTTTACTGTAACCATTAAGATCCACAGGCTGTGTTGAACATCATGCACGCTCTGCACACACACACGCACACACACACGCACACACATGAGTTCACTCACTTGAGAGCGATGGAGTACTTGCTGGTTCCTGATTCGCTGTCTCTCACCAAGAAGCTGGCCTCCCTGCAGCGCTGCAGCTGAGCCTCGGCCTGCTGCCGACTCACACCGCCGTGGTACCAGCTTGGAGAAACGGGGCGAGAGGGAGGGAGGGAGTCAGAGGAGGGGAGCGGAGGGGATGCAGACAGACAGTAGATCATTAGCATATAGCACAGTGACATCTGGAGTTCAGTCCCTCGTCCACTCAGTGATATGTGCAAACAGAATGAAAGCTGAATGTCTGCAGCTTTACAGCTCGCAGGCAAAACAATGGCATTCAACCACAACACAAGAAAACACACGCTAACAGGGAGGGCCCCTCGTGATCAGAGGGGCCTGCTTTTTCATAAACTGAGAACCATTTGCCTCCCCCGTCAGCATCATCCAGTCTCACCTGGAAGTTGTTGTATCAAACTATCATCAGGATGCTGCAAATATACATATGTCTGGAAAGAAATGTCTTCTGTCACCGTTTCTACAAGGTCACGAGTGTTATCTGTCAGAATCTGGCACCGTCTCTCCTTAGACTGTCCAGTCAGCAGACTTCAGGAAGTTTTGCTTCATTTCAATTTGAGGTTTTGCAGGCAATCTGCAGAGGGTGCTGTTCTCCACAAAAAGCAGCCCAGAAGTTGAAGAAAACACAAAACTGGAGCCTCAATTTGAGTTCGTTTATGAGAACTATAGGCATAATCTCTACAAACAGGGGATTAAAAAAACGCACCAGACGTCTCAAGCCTCGTGTCATTTATTTTTTTATCTAGTTCTGTTCAAGGTTACGTTAGTGGGTGTATCCCAGCATGCAGAGGGTGCAAGGGTCACAGGTCTGTCAAAAGACTAAAGCAAAGACCAGAAAAACCTTCAGTGGGGAAATAAATTTAAGCTCCAGGAAGTCAATACGTGCACGTTTTGTCTTAAATCTTAAATTAGGGTGCAGGATTTGTGGAAATATAATGAAAGGAAAGGTTTCTTGTTCTTTTAATTCTTATTCTACTCCAACAATATAAGGTCCTTTATTTGGATTTAATCATGCACATTCACAGTTTTGCTTAAAAAAAATGTTGTGTTTGTCTTTTTTTGTACAGGTGGATGCAGATTAGCGCTGCCTTCACTGACAGACGCCGTCAGTTGTGTTTGTACAACAACAAAGAGGCGTTCATCCATGAATACTTTGTTTTAATAGCTGTACTTGGTTAGAGGCTGAATATTGCATCAGTCATAATAATTTTCAGCTTTTCTTAATCTCTGGGGATTTTTTTTATTAATTAAATATTTTTGTGTGTGTGTTTGTGTGCACGCTTTGTGGAGAAAATCTCAAATTCTCTACAATATCTTAGAACATTCTAATTGTTCAAGTGTTTTGTTGAACTTTCAACATGTTCAGACCCAAATGTTTTCTTATGCCTTCTTTACCGAGCCTATTGTGAAGAAAATGTTCCTTTAAAAACTTTCTGTTCATCTTTGTTGCCACAACTCGAACGTTTAAATTCTTGTTTACAACTACCTTCAAAATGAACATATTTACACGAGTTTTAAATGTTTCATGTCGCTCGGCCTTCTCTCCTGAGCTTGGCAGGCTCGTCTGATTTGTTCACTTTGTGTCCCCTCACCTCTGGTTTTTCAGCTCCCAGAGTTCAGTCTCAGATAAACATTTTGAAGGACGTCTCTGTTCTCCAAACATTCAGAGGACAGAGAAACACTGAAAGTGGAGGCTTGCTGCAGTAGCTACCAGCTGGTATGTGCAACACAAGCACCTTTAATGCTTGTGATAGAGTTATAGAAGTTCATGCCAAATATGTCAAATAAGACAAATGATATATCTCATTGTTTTGCAACAAGAAGAACCCAAGAGGAGAACTGGAGATTTGCAGTTTATGATATAAAACTAGAGAAATTACATTTCCTGAAAAAAGCAGTGTGAATGCTTATTGCAGAACAACTTGCTAAAAAAACATGCTAAAATTTGCTGAAATGGAAGAACAAGCTTAAATTAGCAGAAGAATGCAGAAAGAACACATATTTACTGAATTGGGTTTCAATAAGCAGAAATGAGCACAAAACTCAGTAAATTAGCTAAAAAAAGGTGGAAATAAGCAAAAAAATGCTGAAAAGTAAATGAAAAGGCAGAAAGAAGCTTAAACAACCATAAGGAAGTGGAGAGAGCACATTTTTGCCGAATGAGGCTGAAAAGTTGAAATGAGTGCAGAAAATGTGGACTTAGATGAAAAAGCTAAAATTGGCATAAAACAGCTCCTATAAATAGTAACTGAAATAACTGAAACTAGCTGAAATAAACTGAAAGGAGCATGGCAAGCTGAAATTAGCAGAAATTATTTAATCATGCTAAAAGTAGCAGAAATTGGCATAATAATTTTGAATTTATCTGAAAACAGTTGAAGTTAGCTAGAAAATGCTAAAAAGCTGAGAACAAGCTTAAATTAGCAGAAGAAAAAAGAAAGCACATGTTTGCCCAATTAAGATTAAAGACGCAGAAATGAGACCAAAGAAGTCAGAATTATCTGAAAAAGCTGAAATTGGCAAAACAAAAAACAGCTGAAAAGTAGCTCAAAAATAGCAGAAAGAAGCTTAAACTACCAGAAAGGAAGTGGAGAGAGCACATTTTTGCTGAATTAGGCTGAAAAAAGTTTCAGTGAGTACAAAAAATGTGGACCGAAAAAGCTAAAATTTGTATAAAATTAGATAGCTGAAATAGCAAAAAAAGCAGAGACTTGCTGGAAGAAGCTGAAAGCAGCAGAAAAAGCTGAAATGAGCAGAAATAAGTTAGAAGAAGCACAAAAATGTAGTTAGCTGAAAAAATCTGAAAGGAGATCAAAACCGATTAATTAAATAGCTGAAATTAGCTGAAAATAGCTGAAAAAAGTTTTCATTTGCACAAGGAAGCTGAAAGAAGCTGAACCAGAGCAAAATGTGAAAGGAGCAGCAAAAGGTTGTAAACAGATCTAAAGATATGATGTAAAATGAGCTCAAATCATTTTCTGAGAAAACAAAATGGCAGAAAAGGCTAAATATTTCAAAAAGCTAAAGTTGCACCCATACCAAAAGTCATCCTTCTGAACGAGATGAATGTTTTGATGTGATTTGTTGAAATAGCACAAAAACTGTGGAACAAGAAAGATGGTGAAAACGTACAGAAGAAAAATGGGTCACATGGTGTGAATGCTTCATAAACCATAAGGCCAGAAAGGATCGTTACCTTTGCTTCTCCAGAGGAAGGCTGGAGTCCAGTTTGGCTGTCTCCCCATCCAGTGGGGCGAGGGTGGAGGTAGGAGATGGAGGAGAGAGTTTAGTGGGGCTGGAAGAGGGCGAGAGGGGCGCGAGTTTAAGGGTGGGGTAAGAAGAAGAAGTGAGAGGGGAGAGTTTGAGAATAGGAGAGGACGGAAAGGAAGAGGAGGTGGAAGTGGATGGAGACGTTGAGACGAGAGTTTTATGGCTCCAGTTCCTCTGCCTCAGAGTCTGCTGCTGCTGCTGCTGCTGACGGCTGCTTGTTGAGACGTTCTCTTTGCTGAAAGAACAATCCACGGCCTCAAACTGAGCTGAAGGAAGCAGGACAGGCAACATTTCAGAATGGACTCGATCAAAGCAGAAACACTAAAGTAAATATTTCTCTGGGAATTCATTCAGGCGGTTGGTTTGGTTTCCGCTTTAAAGCAAACACCAAACTGTTGTTCTGTATAAATGAAACTTATTGCTTCCGTCCTCCACACCCTGCACCTCCACCCTTTCCCATCATCCATTGCTTCTTTTCTCTACCTGACAATGCTCTAACAATGTCCTCCTTTCTCCACTCCCAGGGCAATTCGTACTCCCCAGCCGGACGGACATCAGACTCCGGTCGGGTGACAGGGATCCACACCCCGTCGCTGTCGCCGTCCAGTCCGCCTTCGTAGGGTGTGTCGTAGATGTTCGGGGGCGGCGGTGTGCCCTCCTCCTCCTTGCTCTCTTTCTGACCTCGGTCCAGCAGCACACACACTTTCAGGAGGTCTTTGGAGCCCCGTCTACGAACCTCTGCAGCAAAATGTGGAGAGTCAAGACTGAGTTTACCAGCTCATTTTAGTGGTTTTATCCCTCTTTGTCTCGTTCTTTATGGCTTTGATCACAGGAACACTTCAAAGGGCCCAAACAGAAGATGGGTTTTGTATTTACAATAAAAATCCCCACAAATAAAAGAGGAGCAAAAAAATAAAAATGTATTCTTTGTCAGTCTGTTTTCTAATGCTGTTTGTCATGTGCAGGTTAACACAAAGTCAGCAGTGCAATGAAATGTTCAGGATGAGAAGAACTGATTTGACTCGCTAAAAAAACAAAACAGTCAGGAAATACTTGTCCTGAAATACTACGGTAAAGATGTAGTATTTTTAAATACTTATTCTGTTCTTGTTTTTAATTTTTTCCGTGACTTCTTTTTTTCTTGCTGCATGCTTTACACTATTTTCAACCATTTATATTTCTGGTCATTTAGCTTTTAGCTACTGTTCTGCTACCTTTGGCATTTGGTCTATTTCACTTTCAAGGTTCTTTATTACCATTCGCATCACATGTGGTACATGAGGTGGAACTAAATTGTGTACATAGGATCCAAGTCACACACAAAAATATAAAAAATATAAAGTAAAAAAAGAAACAGTATATAAGGATCTAAGATATATACTAAACACTAATAATGTAAAATAATACGTTAAATAAATAATAATAATAATGTATATTAAACAGCAGCCCGAACATACTTCAACAATTAGATAACCTTTTGCCACTTTTGACTAGCATTTTGATGCTTTTTTAATCTTTAGCTGATTTTGCTACGTTTAGTTTAGCTATCATTTTAGTACTTTTAACTTGTGTTCTGCTCATTTAAGCTGGAAACAGGCACCTGTTCATCTTGGCCATGCACAGAGAAGCAGGTAAAGAGAAAAGGATGGATGAGTTTTCAGCTGACGTCCAGAACTCAGCATCCACGCTGCAGAAAAAAAACCTGACTTCTGAAATCATGCGATTTTTTTTCTTTTCTTAGGTAGAACTGTGAAATTATACAACATAAAAACTTAATTACTATAATTACCAGTTATATATCCACATGTCTTATACTTAAACTGTATTACTAGGATTTATTGAGATTTTTATTATTTATTAAATTTAGTTCACAGTAAAAAAAAAATTCTGCTGCTCATCAGTTACAGCAAAAAAAGCTCCTATAAAAGCTACATGTTAATGTATGCAGTGTACTTTTTATTTATGCTGTGTGTGTGTGTGTTTCCTTGCACCAGCCTGACAGGTAGCCTGTGTGTCTGCACTATTGTGTGACCAAACAATGGAGTTACAGGAAGAAAAGGTCAACACAGCCACTGATTGGCTGGCTGACCAGGACATTTCCTGACTGCTGGGAAGTGATTGGGTAGGATCTGGAAGGGGGGTGGAAGGGGAGTCAGGTATTATGGGGGGGCTCTTTGGAATGTTGTCACACACAGAGGGCCATAAAGTGCTAGATGTATGTGCTTCTGTGTGTGTGTGTGGGGGGGGGGGGGGGGGGGGGGCACTGCACTCGGGCAAATGTTCTATCCAAAGAATGGTGCAGAGGAAACAGAGGCAGGAGACAGGAAGCTGGAAGAGGAAGCTGCACCCATTGTCCCTGCACAACACTTTTGCTATAGCAACCGCCGGACAGGAGGAAAGTCGGTGCAGAGACTGGGGGTCTATTTGGCTCCAAGCCCCTTTAAAAAAACATTATTTAGTGAGACTGTGGCACAGTGTGTACTGAGAGACCTGCGGGGCAAACTGATGTTCTGGCATTTTAGATTTTTGTGCATTTAAGAACTTCTGGAGTATTTAGAAATGTAAAACATTGACTTGTCTACATTGTGTTCAACAGACGATGGGGTAAAGGTTGAAATGGGTTATGAGAGGTTTCAGAACTCGATTTCTGATGGAAAGGGTGAGCTAGGAGAGCAAGCAGTTCTGACTCCCACAGTCATAAAGGCAACCTGAGCTCACCTGTGATGATGACCTGGGCATCGTATGGCTCCATGTACCCATCATTCACCCCTGCTCGCTCAGCTTCTCTCTGCTCCTTGGTTTTCTCTGCGTCAAAAGGATCTGCGTAGTCCTCCAGGATTATTAGCTAAAGAAATGGGGAGGGGGGAAAAAAGCACATAATGGTGAATCATCTGCTACTTTTTCAGAGGTTGCATTTACCAAAAAACCCAACAAAGCAAGAGGGATTCAATACAGTGTGTGTGGGGGTGGGGGGAGTGGTGTCCATGACTGAGTGACAAGTGTTAGAGGGACAAGAGGAAATGCTTGTGCAAAGAGGTCAATGCATTGTTTTCCCTGTTTGATCTGACACAATGCAGAGAAACTCTTTGTATTCTTTGGAGAGGGATGGAAACTTAATACTGGGCTCTGGACTGAGGTGGGGAGGGAAAGCACAAAGAAAATTAACAACCTAAAGTCAGCAGCTATTTTATTTTCTTATTTTAAACTCAAACGACCTTAAACTAAGGTTGACTCTGAAATGAGCACAGCATGAAACAGAAAAATCAAAGTTGAGCCGCTCACCGTGGTTTTGACGTCGGGCCTCCCCTTCTCGTTCTCGGACAGCTTCTGCTCACTGATCCCGTCCAGTTTCGGGCTCTTGTCCTGTTTGTCCACTTTGATCATCCTGCTGATGTACGCCTGCGCCAGGCTCGAGGTCCTCACCTGGCGGGTTTCATCCGGCCCCGCAGTCTGACTCTCATTTTTGGAGCTCCTCCGACCTTTACCGGTGGTGAGACTTTCCCACACCGTCCCACCGTATCCAGTATTATTATTGTTCCGACCCAGCTCTGTTGCTGAATTTTTCCTGTTTTTTCCAGCTAACAGACCCCCTCCTCCTCCTCCGCAGTCTTTGCGCTGGTTCCCTTTCAAGCTGTCTCGTGAAAACGCATGTTTGGGTCGGGTTTGGGGGCCAGATTCGGAGGCCGAGCGGACTCGTTCGTGTCCGTTTTTCAGGTTGATGGGGAAATCTCGGAACCACTTTGCCATGGTGACTAACTTAAAACCTCTCGCGGAGTTTTAAACACAACAAACCTGGGTGACTCGAAACTTTCTTGCTTTAGACGCTTCCACCAAGCGACGCGCAGCCATGCGCAACGGCTCCAACTTTACGCACGGATATTCCGCTCAGCCCCGCGTCAAAACGACCCCGATATGAAGCTCTGTCTAAACATCCAGTCATCAACGTGATGTGCTGACACTGGGATGAGTTCCAGAGTCGGAAACTTCTCGACGACCTGACAAATCCCGGCGCGTCTTGGAGATCTCTGACCTGAGCTGGTTTCTCCCTCTCTCACCTGCAGAGGCGACTATCCCCGTAGCGTGAAAAGCAACTTCTGCAAAGCGAAAACTCGAAAAAATTGGAAGTTTTTCTGCGAACCCAGTGAAGATCCCATTCCCTGATCGTGAGGCGCTGCGTGCCAACCAGCCGAAGTGAAGAGATTGGAGGAGGAAAGTTGGTGCGCAGCTGTCCGGTGTCTGGGGAGGAGGAGCTGCGAGGCCCGAGGGGGGGCGGAGTGGGAGTTTTTATGGATGCAGAACTACTGATTCTATGATGAACATTGGGATGCAGCGACAAGATGGAGACATATAGAGCGCATGCATGTTAATAATAATGATAACAATACTGAACAACTGCTAGTGACATTGCACTATAAGGCACATCTGTGACACCTATGTTTATTGCTGCTGCACATGTGGCTGTATCATGTATGCCACTACCTTACCATCATAATTAAATTAAACTAAATGTTAGTTATATGCAATCATGTGCATTCAAGTTAATGTTACTACCTGTGAAATACTTATTTATACGAATCTACTTGCACCATTATATTCTGCCATGTTGTTGTTTATATTTCTTTTGGACCTTGCAACTATTATATTTCTTTTTCACTTATTGATACTTTATTTTGGACCCTTACCACATGCTTTACTATTTATTTTTATTTTTTTTTAGCTAGTCAAATCTGTTCTTCTCATCCTGAACATTTCAGTGCATTGCTGACCTTGTGTTAATCTTCATATGACAAATAAACAACATAACATAACAAAAGTGGGAAAAATATACTAACCTTGAAGTAGAACCTTAATTACTGTAATTACTTCATTATCTAAATCTGTTTTGGTCTAACAACCTGGTTAAGTCAGGTCCTCTGGACAGATTCTTCTTCAGAGGACCTGACTTTTAGATTTTTCTACCTGGATCATTGAGCATGCATCAGGACACTTTTACCTGCTACTTAGATTGTGCGTTATTGGAGTTTATGATCTCCAATTTCTAGGTTCTTACCGAGCTGAATATAATTAATATGAATAATTAGAAAGTGAACAGAATTTGTGCCATCTAGTGGAAAAAAAGCATATTAAGATACTTAAATATTGTGGCTAACTTTATCTATGACAGATCTTGGAGACCATTTTTAGTCGTTTTTCTTTTATTGCTTGGTTTCTTCTTGCAAAATTGCAAGACCATCTCGGCTATTGGAAAAAGACCGAGACCCCCATAAATAATGATTGACTGACGTTGAGAATTGACCAATAATCAAACGTACCCACACTCAATGAGCCCGCCTATTTATCCGTTTTAAACCAATCACCGTGCTTCATTTTGTGAGCGATGGGCGGGGCTATTTATAGCCCAACAAAAGGTAACAGGTTGCAGCTCCAACGGCGTAATGAACTTGTCGCTGCTACAATTTACGTGGGAGTATTTCTTTTACTCCCACACTTTTACCGTGGATTTTGATGGATATCTCTGGAAATATTTGAATTATCTTAGTCGTACGAGACTCGAAGCGTCAAAGAGGAGCAGAGGGAGTCTAAGTTCAGGAGAAGAGGTAACTTTTTCCGAATGGATTTGGGAGCTTTTTTCTCGGCTAAAAAAAAAAAAAAAAACCTAGACGGGCAAGAATTTCCAGACAGTTAGCTTGTGAGAGATTTTCTAGCGCTATTTGATACTTATTTCCTCGTTTAGGTTGGTAAACACGTATTGAGATTAAGATTTAATACGCAACAGTGTTTTTTTTAATTTTATTATTTATTTACCACCAGTTTAACTTGGAAGCTAACTGGAAAAGAAACGGAGGTTAGCAAAAAGTTAACTTTAATAAACGTCTCGTCTACGATGAAGTAACTCTGAACTAAGAGCTCAACAAGTGAGTTTACGTCTTTAAAGTTTAGATATAGGACTTAAGTTGTAAAGCAGTGATTTAAAAAAAAATGTGAACACTATTTTGTGTTAATGGATACCTAAACGTCATAAATCTGTGTATACACCTGTGCTCTGTTCACTGAAGTAAAGTTGCATCACAGCTATTCTCCAAATCGTGTTAAATGTAATTTATCTGTACAACACATGGAGAGGAGTCTTCACAACTTACATGAACCTGATGGCATCAGCAACAGCAGATTATAGTGTTAAAGTGGATTTTGTTGTGTTGTGAATTTCCCTAATAACACCCCTGGACCAGCCAAAACCCCTGACACAGCTTCATGTTTAAATACTTCAGCTCCAATTGGTCTAATGTTACATATACAAGCAGGTAATCCCCTGAAGTGGACTAAAACCTCAGAAATCAGTCTATCTTTCAGTCTGGGGCGATGAGAGGCACTGAGGAACAAGTGTCAGGAATGTGAGGAGAAGTTAGGGCCCACCATGTTCCTCTGATATGGACTCATCTGTGGACTGTGTGGTAACACTGAAGTCTCGCTTTGTCGTGCCAGTGAACCCCTTTTGGATTTGAAAGGAGGAATAAATGGCCATTTGTTTGAGTGCGAAAGAGGAGCAGTAACAAGCTTGGAGAGAGGACAAGGGTCTGGTTTTAGCTCAAGAACGTAACTGAGAGGGAGAATCCTCTCAGGACAAAGTGGACTGTTCCCTAAGAGCCAAGAGAAAATGAGTTCTGTTACTTAAAACCTGGTACGCTGTTAAATCTTAATGGTTCGTTCAGGGGGAAAAGTTTTATCTCTGGACATTTAAGAACGAGTGAATCAAACAAAAAGGCGTTGTTTTTGTTTTTTGTTTTTTCGCAACACAGAAGTTTTCATTTAGGCAAATTTGATCTGTTTTCACTTGTTCCTCCTGTTCCTCTTTTTTCTTCCAAAGTATAACATTTACAGGATTGAAGCGAGCAAACGTACAAAACACATTCTGCAGTATATTTTGGCTACCAGCTTGGCGGTACGCAATTTAACATCCGACTGATTTTTCAGTTAATTAATTTTAATCTGTCATTTGTGTCCACTTTTTAAAAATCAGCAATTGTCCGTACCCATGAATACTTTTATCACTTGCCGAGTAGGAAAATAAAAAAGCAGCAGTAGGTGCTACAACAAGCTTCTTAAAGGTCACAATTTTTGTTTTCTAAGTGAAAACGCTTTTCTGTATATTTTATTTTGTTTATTTGTCAAGGACAATGCATGGCAGAACACTGGAACAAGTTAAGTTAACTTAATGTGTACTGGATTTGTAGCGTGGCTTTGTTTTTCTATCTCCCAACGCAGTTCATAAAAATAGCAACACTAATGGTCATAAAGAAATCATGGGAGGGGTTAGAGAAGGTGAGCTTGTGATCGGAAGGTCGCTGGTTCAATTACTTGTACTGACAACATAAAGATGTGGGTGGGTAAGGTGAAACACCCACACCTGCTTCCACCCTCATTTGCCCAACTCTGGACCCTTGAACACCCCCATCTGCTCCCCCAGGTGCCCTAGAGAGCAGCTTTCTACTCCACACATGTATATATGTATATATATGTATATATATTCCCTGAAGACGGGAAAGAAGGAAAAAAATATATATATGGTCATAACAAATCATAACCAGCACATGCGTTTAATAAGGCATTAAGTAAGATCATAATAAAATAACATTTATAAATTAAAGTATAAAAATTACAATGTCCAAGTGTTTAAAAACATCGAAGAAAAAAAATCCCACTTCTGTGTTATGTTATCTAAAAATTGCAAAACCTCAAAAAATTACGTGTAATCTGACCCTGTGGGATCTTTTTGACTAACGATTGTAAGTTTGGTTTCGTTTCGACCAGTTTGTCACGTTCATTTTGAAACAATTTCCCATCAGTCAAAGTATTTTCTTGTCAAGTTCATGTCAAAAGTGTGTTTCTTTTACTGAGAAGGACTTGTAGTTGTGATTTTGTATGTGAAGTTAATAAAATCATCAAAACTGAGCAGCATCCTTTTTAAAAACTTAAACAGTGGTGCAATTTCATTGGTTTTTGATCCATTATTAGTAGTGGTGTCCTGATATTGGTAGTGGTAACAGTAATGGGCCCAATACCAGCCTGAAGTACTTGTACTCAAAAATACAACCCGATACTTTGAACTGATGCCACTTTTATGCTTAGTGATGCCATTACCTTTTCCACTTTGCAAATCACAAAATCTGTTAAGTATATGTTTTATTTAAGTTAAGCAATATTGTTGTATGTTGTTAAATGAAAAATAGATATTGGGTCAGAAAAAAAAACTAGTGTATATCGACCGCACTGATTTCTAAACATCTGCCATAGAAAGTCACGCTGGTCGACCTCTGATCAGTATCACTCATGGATACATCCTGGTTGGTCAATTTCTAATAATTGGCTCTTCTTTTAAGCCTTTTTTTAAGCATTCACTTCTGCATGAAGAGCATCTACATGAGAGCATTTAAAGGTCAAGGAACCTTCTGTGTCTTTTACTGTCGTGATTTTTGAGGCCAGACAATTGAGGATTATGATGACAATGATGTTAGCAAATAGTTTTTATTTTTGTATTTATTTTTTTATTTGCTCACCACAGTCTCATGTTCAGGCTGCTGCTGTTATGCCGTATTGTTTGACATTATTAGTGTTCAGAGCATAGCTTAGATCTTTAAGCGTGCCGTTTGGCTTTTTTTTTAGTCTATATCTTATACACGGTTTCTTTTTATGCTTTTATATTTTTGCTATTTTTGAGTGTACCTGGGACACCAAGTACATAATTTCGTTCCACCTCATGTACCACATGTGATGCAAATGACAATCCACTTGAATCTGAATTTATTTTAGATAATGTACAGAGTTAATAACAAAACCATAAAATGTTTAATCTACTCACAAAAAGGGAAGTTTTATTATCCTGCTATACATATAAATTGTCATTAAATATGTAAATATTTAGTGCTTTGCTTTTTTTTTAGTGCCATTATAAAAAAAATAATATATGAACTAAATTACTGGAAAATCAGAAACATAAATTCACAGGATCAATGCATCAAAATCTGTCTGCACCAACAAATGTGGCTAAATAATTTGGCGGATTATTTCCAGACAATAAAATAATCAGCCTAATTATTCCGCCCAACTTTAGTTGTAATGGAGGAACTGACTCTTTGAAATAACTAATCAGTCACTTAATAGACACGCTTAAAGACTGAAAGTCTTACAGAGACTGCACCAAGAGGTTTGAAAGAGAATATTTGCTTTGAGGGGAGAAAAAAAACTTTCGAGAGGTTTCGAGACGTAGAATGTATTGAAACTAACTTTTGTAATCCGATCCAGGGAGAGGATTTTTTTTTTTTTTTTGCGTTCTCAGAATTGCAGCCCTTGTTTTCCGCCCCACATCAGCTGGACAAAGAGATGATGGCTATGAAGTCCCCCGCCCCCCTGACCTGGCGTTGCATTCTTCCCCTGACACAAATAAAAACTAAAACTGATGAAATCATGCAGATTAATAGGAACTCTGAGAGGACAATCCGTTTGTGCTTGACTCCTTTCTTTAATTTAATCAGGCCTGTCTGCAGATTCACCTGCTTCAAACAAGCATGACACATTTTAATAAGATGATTTATATTGTTTTATAGCTTCTCTGTTGTATATCCATGTAACATTCAGTACTGTATGACAGGTATGATTGGATTCAGTTTAAAGACTGTGGGCTGCAGACTTCATGCATGACTTAACAAACGTATTGCGACACAATGCTTCCTGTCTGGTTCCCAAAGGGTGGGGGGGGGGGGGGGGGGGGAATGGACAAACAGTACTGACCCGGTAACTGGGTCTGTCTGTGGATTTTAAATATTCACTTTAAATACTTTTATGGGTTGCTCATGTTCACCGTTGTTGACTGCACTTCAGACGTTTCCAGGACAGTCGTTTCATCACCAGTAATTCACAGAAACTTTCAGGTTTTATTTTTTAAAGCTCACACTTCATTGCCATTCTCTGCATTATCATCACTACACACTTTATTATCAAAACATCTTTGCTCATTAAGCTCCAAAAATGAAACCCAAGGTTTTTTTTTGTGTGTGTGTTGGCGTTAAATAACTGATGTTTCAGACAAACGGATGACTGGTTAGGAATAAAACACTGTTGCATTTTTAATTGTTACTTGTGGGAGGTTTGTTCACAGTTCGACTTTGGATTTTATCCTGCAACGCACTGATAAGAGAAGAAAACTATTGTTTTCGTTTTATCATTTTACCCTCCCTTTCTCTCACCACGGAGATGTTTGCAGTGACGTGCATATCGGAGAGGTCAGGAGTGTTCTGCTGGACATGTCGGCGTAATGAACCATATTGTCCAAATGAAATCACAGTTAGAACCTGAACAGGGCAGGATTATTTGACAATACCTGAAACGCTTACTTCAATACATTAAATTACTTCTGTTGATCTGAATGGAAGGTCAATAGAAAACATATTTAGGATTTTTCTTTAGGTAGAAATGTTACAATAAATACAAAAGTGTAGGAGTCAAAACTCAAGAGCAGGAACATTAGTTGGTGAGACACTTGGTTGTACAGTATTTAGGTTATCAAAGTCTTGTTTGGGTAATTTCTTCCACTGAGCGTAGAAACTGTCAAAGGTTTGGCAAGGTTTTCATAGAGGGAGCGTCATCTGAGGTGTGTACTTTCAGGTTAATGACTAATGGAGCGTATCAGGAACAAAGTTCACACAATCAGTCAGGAGACAGAAACCAAGTGTCAAAGCCTGTAAATATAAGGCCTGTAGTAGCAAATTGCCTCTAGGCATGATTTTTTTAAAAATATTTTTGCATTCTGTTTGAGTTTATTGCAAACATTTTTGAAGCTTTTATTAACGGTTCCTTACATTTTATTTTACTTGGAATTTCTGTTTTTTTTTATTTTTTATCTATTCCTCCTGCAAAAGGCTATTCATTCTGTGGGATTTTGGAGTTGTTTTTTCCACACACCCCTCTCTTATGAGCTTATCAAGCTCTTAGGGTAGTCCATGTTGTGTTTGTAGGTGTCTTCAAAGTCATTAAAAGGGATCGTCTGCCTCAGAAACTCTGTCCACTCCTGTCTTTGCATGTGATATTTTGCATGTTTCCTCGTAACAAAACTATCCTCCGAAAGTTACGTTTTCCTCGTTAGTTTACCAAAGTTTTTTTCACAATGCACCAAGATTTTTTTTAGACATTAGGTGAACAAGAAGTGTGATCAGATGGGCAAATAGAGACTTTGATTTCCCCTTTTATCAATCCCTTTTACAAAGTTTTCTTGATGCATCTGACCTCACCTGTTCCTCTGCCATTAGTCACCCAACAAACTGAGGGAAATTACTTTTTTTTTTTTTTTAGTTTCTTAATGCATATTTGACATCAAGTGTCTCATTCTGAAAGCCAAGATTTCACTGAATGTTTACCATTTTCCTTTAATGTGTTTAAACCTTGGGGGAAATGTTTCAGCTTACGCTAATGTTTTAGATTAGTGGTCTTTAAAGATTTTGATAAACGTTTCTGTTTTAGGCGTTTTCATTTTGGAAGCTGGTGCCTAATGTTAAAGTACTCTTCCCACTTTTGTTGAAGTAATATATTTTCCTCTTGTCTTTTTACTCTCATCTCTGTGGTGTTATCAGTATGAATACACAGTCTTCAGGACACAAGACTCCGGTGGACCACGGTGTCCAGATCCGCTTCATTAATGACCTCGCTGACCGAGGTGGAGGGCAGCCATTGTCCCAGCCTAAGCTGAAGCCTCAGACCACCTCCAAATATGGCGTAGCAGTCAGGGTGCAGGGTATTGATGGCCAGCCGTACGTAGTCTTGAAAAATGGACATAAGGGAGACTCTTACGGGGTCCAGCTCAGGACTGACTACACCGCCGGCTACCGCAGCCTTCCCAGGAGGAGAGAGAAGGCAGAGCCCAGAACAGAGGAGGCAGATGGAAGTGGGGGACAAGGAGGGGCGCTACGCCGGGCTCAGTCTCAAGGCTCCCTGCTAGACAGGGATGGAGGGGGCGGCAACGAGGATTTTCAGTTTACTAGACCACCTGGGGATGGAAAGTCTGGTAGTTATGGGAATCTGGATGGAGGAATTGGAGTTGGGAGAGACAGAGAGGACACGTGGGGTATCAGTGGTAGAGAAGGGAGTGTAGTAAGCAATATGTGGGGGGGCGCATATCAGGCAGGGCTCAACAGGTCATTGGGGTCAGTGAGAGACAATCAGACATACCCTGACGCTCCTCAACAAACGAATGAGCTCCGCTCTAATCAGAGACCAACTTCAGTCAACAGACTGATAAACAGGTTTGATGGTTCAACATCTGGAGGTCAGCAGAGAGGACTCCCCCCCACACCACTGCAGCCCAGAGCTACATCTCCTCACATCGTGCCCAAACCCTACACCTCACCTCCATCTTCAACAAACAGCAGCTTGAGACGGACTCCTGTCGAAGCTCCTAAACCCTCAGCCAGTCGGTGGACATCTAAGGAACTTCTGCAGGCAGATATGATCGACCCGCAGGTAAAAATTCAGCTTTTATTTTTTGCTTTGGCATTGCATCCGATGTTTTTCTGAGCTCTAAACACCACAAAGCACACAACATGGCAAGATCAGTCTTCTGATCTATGTCTTAAGGTGACCCCTGACCTTTTGCTGGACCAGGTTCAGAGTGCTGAGACGAGCGTCGAGGAGGAGCAGGTCATGAAGTCTGTGTACAACATCCTGAGACAAGGGTACAGACTTTTATTTTCATTTTACTGCTGAATTGGGTTGATCCAATGAAAAAACATTAAAGATCTTTTTTTGTTCTTTTAGGTCCAGTGAGAGTGATGTCGTCGTCAGGCACAAAGTCAAGACCATCTTTCAAAAAATTCAGAGCATAATGGTTTGTTCTTTTTGACATGATTAAATTTGAGAAGTTTATTTTTCTATTTAATAAAAAATGGTTTCCATTTGTGTGTTTTCTTACACTTTTTTTGTGTCCGCAGCCTAAAGAAAGCCCTCGGGATGAGTGGATAAGGGACAAAAGGGAGCTTCAGACAAAGGTGGCTCAACTGCAGACTGCCCTGCAAGAAGAACGGAGGAGGGTAAGTGGCCTTTAGACACAAGACAACGTTTGTTCTGTCTCTCCTTTTATTGATTAAAATTAAAAGTGGGAGATGTTTAATTGTATATGTTGTTTGTCTAAAACAGGTCTAGGCCTGTCACGTTAACAATTGTTGCTGGGTGATTAATTGTCTCAGAAATTATTGCGATAAACAATAATATTGTTTGAAGTTTGATAATAATTAGTACTTGTAAAATTTAAGAAGAAATGTTGATTAATTTGTGTATGTAGTACATTTTTGGACCACTGGATGGCAGTATAAGACAGTTTGAACTGAAGGATGGATAGTGAGGGAGCGAGCAGTGTGCCTCTTTAAAAAAAATTGGAGGGAGGTCCCTTGATGTGACATGGGTTGTCTCTCCTTCCTGTTTTTTGGTTCTCAAAATGGCAGATGCCCTGTGTGGTTTGAGCTCTTTAGCATAGCATTTGTCAAACAAAGCTTTTAATAAAAGCATCGGTAAACAAGTTCTCAGCTTCTTTTTGCAGAGGAAAAACGAGTTTTTACACAAAGGCACGTGTTTCAACTGTGAATTTTGGAGCGTTGGCAAGACGGAGGATTTTTCCCGAAGTCGGCCTGTTGGCTTAGCTCGTAGTTTAGCTTCTCAGCTTAGCTGCTTTTAACGATCCAAAAACGTGATTTTGGATGGTTAAAACGGATTTTAAAGAGAAAAGATAAAGGGAGGGCTCAGTGAAGAGCACCGGAGTTGAACTTTTTGTCATCCAGTGTCTTCAGTAGAAAGAGAGACACAAAGAAGCGATAAAGCTAATAAATGAAAATGAGGTCGATAATTTTCATTTATTATTCATTCAACCTGTATTTAGACAGGTTAATCCCACTGAGCCTCAAGGAATCATTTACAAGAGACCTGATTTCAACAAAGAATGATGAGAACAGTGGACAACAACAATAGACAATCATAAAAGAGGCATTCAGATTTTTATTTATTTATTTATTTATTTTTTTTTTACAAATTAAAATAAGAGGGCAAAAACGTAGCAAAAACAGCTAGATTATAAGATGAATGTAGAAAACTAAAAACATTCGCCTTATAATCTAGCTGTTTTTTGCTACTTTTTTGCCATCTTATTTTAATTTGTGTAAAAAAATATATATATATTTTTAATCAGTATGCGTCTTTTATAATTGTCTACTGTTGTCATCATGCAATTGATTTATTGTTTATTGCTACAGGCCTCAACAGGTCTCTCTTGTAAATGAGTCCTCGTTGCTCAATGAAACTAACCTGTATAAATAAAGGTTGAATGAATGAATTACCAAACCTTTATGTTCAGGGTATGGAACGCAGGACATTGAGTTGTTATAAAAATGTGGCTTAAATCACTAAAGTCTTTCTCGGTTAGATGTTCGTATCCAAAGAGGAACTCCGTTTTAATTACATGGATCAAAACCAGTATCACCTTGTTGTCGGCCTCTTCAGAAAAAGAAAAAAGCTTCATTTATTATTTCCTCTGGTGAGAAAGGTAAACTCACAGAGTTTGTATTCCCTTTTTAACTAATCTAATTAGATTCATAAGATGGAGTATGCTTCAGATTAATCCTTAAATTAATCCATAAAGCCCTCTGACCCAGGTAGAGGTGCACACAGACACACATGCACATAATCCAGCCTCTATAATAACTCCTTCCATGTTGGTTTAAGGAAGCGCCGTGAGTCTTAAGTTCCAATAGCTCTTAATACTGTAAGCTCTTAGGCATAATGATTGGGGTGCAAACGGGAGCCCGCTGCAGCGTTTTCCTAACAGCTAATTGTTTATTTCACCTGAAGTCTCGTGTTTCACTTCCCCTCATTTATTCATCATGTCTGCTTGTGTGTAGGAGTCTGTTGGCAGCTCTGACCCTGCTCTGAAAGCTGAGCTGGAGTCCTGTCTGGATGAAAATCTGCAACTTCAGGAGATGCTGGACCGGAAGAAGAGAGAATTAAATGAAACACAGTCAGAGTGAGGATACACACACACACACACACACACACACACACACACAAAAGTTTGTCTTTCCGTCTTTACATGGACTTTGCATTGAATTCCATTCATTTTTTTTTATTAATTTCTATAGCCTAACCCTAACCCTTACACTAAACCTAACCCACCAATGACACTTCTTCTTATGGGGCCTGGGCTTTGGGCCCCATAAGGAGCAGTTGGTTCTCACAATCTAGTATAAGTTAGAAAAGTGGGTCTTACAAGGTAACGTATACAAAGAAACGCGCGTGCACAACACTTATTGACACGAGAAACAAAGGTGATTTTAGTTCCTAGAATCGTTCACAGATGAAATGGTGTCATCTTCGCTATGCAGGCTGACTCAGCTGCGGATGGATAGGGGGAATGCGGAAACACGAGTCACAGAGTTGGAGGACCAGCTGGCTGAGATTCAGGATGAGCTGAGAAGAGAAAACAACAGCAAGATGGTACCACAACAGAAAATTCCTTAATCTGTGGAAATAAACACTTTTTTTTTAACATTTCTAAAGTTGTGAAGGCTCAGTTCTGTGTGTTCCCTCCATCTGCAGGATCTTATGTCCAGTCAGGCACAGCTGATGGATGTTCAGCAGCTAAAGCAGAAGCTGGAGGAGACACTGAGGCAAAGGGAGAGAGAGCTCACAGCTTTGAAAGGCGCTCTGAAGGAAGAGGTGGCGACACACGACAGAGAGGTGGAAGTGCTGCGAGAGCAGTACAGGACTGACATGGAGAAGCTCCGCAGCAGCATGGAGCAGGTGTCTCAGGTGTGTAGCACTCCTAGCTGCCTGCTGAATGTGACTTAGATTTGACATATAAAACATTTTAAAGCTGAAGTTAAAGTGAGCAAATCGAGCAAATGGACATCATCAGACACCTGGTCTGCACAAGTTCTATTTCTTCTCGTGCAGTAGCATCACAGATGGCAGCATAATTTTAAATTACATCAGTCGACAGTCTGGACACCAGCTCCAGTCTCCTAATTCAGTTTGTTTCATCAGGTCCAGATTTAATTTTAGTTTCAGTAGACGTTATAGTAATCTTGATATTCAAATTAACACCACTGTTCAATCAAGCACTTCTCAGAGATTATTCTGGGATTTTAACTTTCCCTTGCAGTCAAATGGTATTTGGGCTGTACTTGTATAGCACCTTTCTATCTTATCAAGATATTCAAAGTGCTTTACAACACAATCTGAGCCCTCAATTACCCATTCATACAGCACTCTATTTCTTTACAATGACTAATCAGAGCTTTATCCCATTCATACACCGATGGGACACACATCTGAGGGAATGAGGGGTTCAGTGTCTTGCCCAGGGACACTTTCGCATGTGTCTGCTGGTGGAATTGAACCCCCAACTTTTTGCATTGGAGGACGACTGCTCTAACCACTCAGCCACAGCAGCAGTCAACATGAGAGTACTGTTGTTTCAGTGCGTAAACGCTTGTGGTAAATACTCACTGTTGACTAAACGGTACTTTTACTGAAAATGAATGGCTTTGACTTTGCCACAGAACTTCATAAACAACGGATTAGCTAGGTACAGCTAACGGTCAGGGAACATTAGAAAACTCAACAAACAGGAATTCTGCTGCCTCATGAGTTGTCCACAAATACAGAGTGTCAGATCAGATCACTCTGCTTCTTCAGCCTGATCAACAAATTCAGTTTAATTATGTCACAGAAGTTTGAGTCAGCTGTAACACGCCCACACTGACCTCAGCTTTTAACATCAGAGTTTAATGAACTCTGTGTTTGTTACCGGTACTTTTGAACTGTGTGTGTATGCGCATGTGTGCATATGTGTGTGTGTGTGAAATGTTCAACCCTTTACTTAACTCATTGTAAAATTATATACATGACGTTACTATGTTCATGAGCAATTGTTCCATGACATTTATAGTGCAGATTTTAGCTTTTTTTTTCCCCATAAAAGCTTTAAATAAAACAGTTGTATATATATAATAATAATAATTATAATAATAATGTGCAAAAGTCTTGAATGAGACTTTTATGCATGATGAGTCACATTTTTTATTGATTTGTTTTGATTAATTATTCTTCAGGCTTTCTGAATTAATTTAAGGGGGAAAAAAGTTATCAACAAGGTTTAGATGTTTTTGTCCTCATTTTCAGTCCAAAATCTAAATGTTTTGTAATGTCCACTGTTTTTTAATTTGTTTAGGCATAAAAAGGCTCCTAAACTCGGATAGAACAGTGTTGTGTCGACACAAAACAGACAACTTGGCAAAAAGCCTGTTTAAATAAAACCTTTAGACACTTTGATACCAACAGTCTAAAACAGAGATACAATTTGTTCCTATTTTAGTCAAATATATGAAAACAGTCAAATATGGCTCAGTCCGATATAAATAGTATATTTTAGGGATACAATTAATAATCGACTAAAGGAAGAGTTCAGGACTTGTAAGATCTTTGGATTTTTCTTCCTGTTTGAGAGAGATGACTTTTAGATGCTGTTCATCTGCTGTAGCTATGTTCTGTAGCCGTGATGCTTCTCTTGTCCTCCTTTAGTTCAGGTTTGTTATTTTCTGCACACGCTGTCCTGGTCAGGCACAAGGATTCATCAAATCCAAAACACCTAAAAACTGTTGTTCAAGACTACTTTAAAAGATTACAAGAAAGTTTAGCTCTTTGAACTTAAAATGTAAAGGAACAATGGATGGTTTAACACACAGCACATAAACATAACTTGTCAGTAAAGTTGATTTATAATGATTATTCTTTTAAACAAGGGTTTACTGCCTCATTAAACTGTACCTCTGTAGCTGAAGTCAAATATCACTGATGTCATTCAGATCAACTCTCTCAGTTTGACCTTTTCACTGATACAGAAAGTAAAATAGTTGTTTTTGTGACTTTGCTATGAATTTTTTTTCTACACTTCAAATGAGGCACGTTGGCCTTTAAACTGAACGTGGTGAAATATCTTTCTGTCTCCTGCTGCAGTCTCACGCAGGGATCGAGGCGGAGCGGCTGCGTGTGAACACGACAGTTCGCTCCCTGCAGCAGCAGCTGGAGGACTGTAGAGACGAGAGCAGCCACTGGATGGAGCAGTTTCACGCCACCAGAGACGAGCTTCGAGCCACTAAACAAGAGTGAGTACATATTCTGGAGTTCACGTGGATTATTTAAACTCACTTATCTGGGTTAGCATTCTCCAGACTTCACCAGGTTTTTATCACCTTTCATGGTCTCTCTTTGCACTCAATTTATTACTAATCTGTTCGTTTTTCTCTCCTCTCTCTGCCGGGTCAATATTCTTCTCCCTGTCTCTCTCAGAGAGCCACCCAGCAACCCTGAAGCACAGTGAGGGTCACAGATTTGACGTCTCTGTGTTAGATATGTGGACGTTTAGATGTGACTAATTATACTTACTGTCTCACCGTAGTATCAAGACCATCCACACTCTGTGCATCTAATTTATGAGGCATAAAACTTAATTCCTGACTGCTGTAAAAATCCTCCCTAAGCGTTGTTTGACTTAGCAACTAAAATAGATCACACTTATTTTAATACACAAGTTCTTTAGGTCCTATTTTGAATGGAAACAGTGTTGCAGACAAGTTTAAACAAGCATGCAGCGAAGTCGCCATTCCTAATTGTTTCCATTTAAAGAATCTGTAAAACCTGTCAATTATATGGAAACAGACTCATCAAAGATGAAGCAATGGTGTGGAAAGTCTTTATTTGTGTTTAGTAAAAGTATACTGTAGACGTGATTTCCTGTGAATTTATCTGACTTTGTGTTGTGTGAAAATTAATCATTTGCTCATTAATGACCAAATTAAATTCATGATTTCCTCATACAATTGAACTACAGCTGATGAGATAATGATGAAGTGCTTATAGCAAAAAGGTTTTATGAGTTGTTGAGGTTGTTTGGGGACATTTTTCAGGCTTCTGCAAATCCGTCTGGAGAAAGAGGAGTCCGAGGATGAGCTAAAGGAGCTGAAGGAGAAGATGAGCACAATGAAACAACAGAAACCAGACCCGAGCCACACGGAGACGCTCAACCAGGTGCAGTAACTGCCACTAAATCTCTTAATGTACTGATGAATGACCCTTAAAACACTGTATTCATGAAAATGAAACAAACCCGTTCAGGAGCTCCAGAGAACCAGCACTGATCTGCTGAAGACCAAGTCCCAGCTGGAGAAGCAGAGGACGGAGTTTGACAAGAAGGTCATGGAGGTGATCGCCATTAAAAAGTCTCACCAGAGCCAGGAGGCTGAGCTGCAGTATGAAATCGACAGGCTGAAGGACCAGCTACAGAAGGCTAAAGAAGACTATGCTAAGGCACAGGAGAAAAATAAACGGGTTTGTTTCACCTCATAAGGGATTTGTTTATTCACTGTATGACAAGAATGTATTTTTTGTATTCATTTAAATGGCCGTTTAAGAAATATTAAAAGTTTTCTGCTTTCATCCCATTTTTCTCCTCCTAGCTCCCTAGCCCAGCAGCCCTCTCAGAGCTGGAGCAGAAACTCTGTGTGACACAAAGTGAAGTCGGTCAACTCAAAGAGAAGTACACCGTCTCTGAAGAGGAACTAGCAACGACTAAAATCCATCTCAGCAAAGCTCAGATGGAGGCTAACTCACTTCAGGATGCTCAGAGGGAGCAAGAGGCCACTAACACTCGTCTCAAAGAGAAACTCTCAAGATTAGAGGTAAAAAAGAAACAATCTACCTCTGAGGGTTGGATACCGTGAAAACGGTAAATATTTATACGTTTGTTTCCTCAGGCTCAGCTGCAGAGCAACGCCACAGAGAGCTCAGAAGCAGAGCTCGCTCTTCACTCTGAGGTAAGAGGTCTGCGATCTGAGCTCGATGAGGCAAAGAGAAAAGCTTCCAGAATGACCCAGGAGCACAACGAGCTCAGCCTGCATCTGGAAACTGCAGTTAGAGACAAAGAGACGCTCAAACACACCGTCAGCCAGCTGGAGGAGACCAAACGGCAGCAGGAGAGAGCTCTGGAGAAACTCAGCAAAGATGTGAGAACATTGAGTCTTTGCATGTCATCAAAGATGAATTCCCCTGGTTTGTTTTACTGCTCATTAGGAAACATGGTTTAAACATTTTTCTCCTTTGGTCTTGTTACTGTCCTCTTCTGTCTCTCCATCAGTATGAAAGTTTCAACGCATCCTTAAAAGAAGAGACTCAGGTTCTCAGGGTTCAGCTGGATGAGGAGAAAGAGAGAACACGCAAGGAAGTACAAGAGGCCCATCGTCATGGAAACGACGCTAAGTCCGAGCTGGAAAGAAACCATTTAAATCTGAGGAGACTAGAGGAAGACGTGTGTGCCTACGTTTAAGTGTTTTTCCATGTATTCGCTAATTCAGTGTCATTACTGTTTCTAATGACTATTTATCAATTTATGTAGATGTCACGACAGAAGAGGGAGCTTCAGCTTGTATGTGAGGAGAGAGACAACCACCAGCTGGATAAGGAGCTACTGGCCAACAGACTGCGACACCTGGAGGGAGAGCTGGAGGCCGGCAAAAACAGCCTCGGTGAGAAGGCTCGTGAGATTCGCATCCTGGAGGTGAGACAGACCGGAGAACTTTCTAAACGCAAATCTTTATGTTACTGCAAACTAAACGGTCCAGAATCATGGCACTGGCTCCAGAGACCATAAGTGCATTCCAGGGGCCAGAGAAGGTGACAGTGAAGCCTACCTGAAACTGCTGTCGGAGGTAATGACACCCGGTTACGCCAATCGGAGGTCACTAAAATTAATGTTGCTTGGGTGTGTAACTTTTCAAAAATTATGTTGGACTCTGTAGTTTTCTCTGGCCCCCTCCCCAACCTGGACAGCAACGACATGTTTTAGCCGTATGTTGTTGTTCAACCTCTGGGTGTCCAGGTGGTGTCCTGAAAACAATGTGGGCTACGTAAGTAACTGGCTTTTATGGGGAAAACTTGGTCTGATGCGGAGAGATGGCATCCATCCCACGTTGGGCTCTTTGTTCTAGAAATTTGGCAGATTTTGTTTGTCCTCCAAATTATTGACAACCCAGGGTTCAGTCCAGGAAGTGGAGTTATATTCCTCCACACCTCTCTGCTGCTTCTCCTCTGTAACCCACCCAAACCCCCATTGAAACAATGGCAGCTCGCTCACGGCTCAAATTAAATAAACCCAAAATCAGTTGTAAAAATATACATCCTAAAAATCTTGTTAAAACAAACAGTTACTTACCCAGGCTTAGACCGCTTTGACCACATTTCCTGACTCTGCTCCCGTCTTACTTGCTCTACTCTGCCCGTTTTGTATTTGTAATTATTTCTATCCTTAACATGTTTTTATGTATTTCCTTCAATAGAAAGTACATCTGGACCTGCCATTCTGTGTTCGTTTGTTTCTGCTTCCTGTCCTCTCAAACCCAATCAGTCAAAACAGATGCCTGTTCGTGAGCCTGGTTCTGCTGGAGGTTTCTTCTTGTAATTGAGTTTTTCCTTTCCACTGTTGCCTTTGTGCTTGCTCAGGATGGGAGACTGTGATGAAGTGAAGATTCATCATCTTCTGGCTTCCTTAGATAACTTTTACTAACTGACTTTTATATGAATGTGAATGTTTTTGTTCATTGCCCTGAGACGACTTCTCTTGTGACTTGGTACTACAGTATATAAATAAACTGAATTGAATTGAATTAAACATTAAGATTAAACATAGTGACATTCATATGAGAGGTGAGTTGTGTGACTGCAGTTTTTTTTTCTGTCTGACAGGATAAGCTGAAGCGTATGGAGTTGGAGCTGGAGGAGGAGAAAAGCAATGGGGAGATGCTGACGGAGCGATTGTCCAGAAGCAGAGACCAGATTGATCAGCTCCGCTCTGAGCTCATGCAGGAGAGATCCTCCAAACAGGACCTGGAGCTGGATAAAAACGCCTTGGAGAGACAAGTGTGTTCACCCACACCCAGTCTGTCTGCCAATATTAGGCCATGCCAGAATACAAGTTTTTATTCTGGAGTTTGTCTTCAATACTGGAGTTAAAAATGCTTCTTAAATCCAACATGTTCCCAGTTCTGAGCATCCACTGAAGTGTATCATGAGTCGTTTTCCTTGTCTCTGCAGCTGAAAGAGATGAGGAATCGTGTCGCTGAGATGGAGGGTCAATCTCGATCATCAGCAGGAGTCTCCCAGCTGGAAAATAAAATCCAGGAGCTGGAAGAACGTCTGCGAACCGAAGAAAGGTAGACCGGAAAACATCCTATGTCATTAACAGCAAAGTCCATGCTTAAATCCTATGTCATTATTTTGGCTTAGGGGTGATTCACATATTTAAATATTTTCACAAGTGTACAAACTATACTCTGTTTTGAGACACCCCAAACACCCTCCCCTCCAAAGGCGTACAGAAAAATGTTACCTTCCAAGAAACACTTTTTTACAGGACATTAAACCCACAGGCTTACAAAGATATTGTAGCAACTCACTTGTGTTAGCAGTAAAATCACAACAGAGTTGCCTTCTTGTGTGACATCACTCTTAATTATACGTACACACTTTCACCCGCCAGCAGGAAGTGCTTTCCCCCTTATACATTCCAGGAACAACCTCTGACTCATGTCAGCTTACAGCCAATAACAGACGTTAACATAAATGCCAAACCAAAGCTGAACAAGACATTAACAAGAACATCTAATGTCCACACTCAGAAACATCAAACAATCATAAACATTGGACACATTGCCACAAGGCTACCCATCATCCTTTGCAGCTCACACTCTCTCTGAGGCTGCGATATTGTTCTAATGTCTTGTTGCCGTGACGTTGAGAGAGAGAGAGGGAAAACAAGGAGTTTGGTTGCATGTGCAAGTTGGACATGTCTTTTATAGATTTTAGATTTTAATGTGTCCTGGTTAGGTCAGGGGCCCGGTGCAGGGGGGGTTCTGTCAGCGACAGCAAGATCAGTGACTGCTGTGTGCATGCATGCTTGTTTTCGGTGTGTGAGTGCAGTGGGGAGCTTTGCTCTGAGCGCTTTGAGATGGCAAGGGGCAAAAACGGTCAACTTGTGTATAATTTTGAAAAGTGTACACCAGTCCTCAACACCCCCCACGCTTGTGAAAATGATCATCTGAATTACTCCTTATGTGTTCATTGTTTGTTATATTTTAGAGCTCCGATTTAACCATTAAATGTAAGAAGTCATCCAGTTTTGTTTTTTTCCCATTTCTCACATTAGAGAGAAGAACTCCGTGTTGGCGTCACAACGCCGTTTGGAGAGAAAACTGAAAGAACTGAACATGACGCTGGACGAGGAGAGACAAGCGCACACTGAGCAGAGAGACCAGGTATGAATGTGAATATTAAACAGTCAATCTGTGAGGCTTGAGCGTTACTTCAACCCCAGTCCAAATGTCTGCGCTGTGTTTGCAGCTGACTCTGAGGGTGAAGGCTCTGAAGAGGCAGGTGGATGAGAGTGAAACCGAGCTGGAGCGAATAGAGACTCTGAGGAGGAAAGCCCAGAGAGACATGGAGGAGCAGATGGAGCTCAGAGAAGCCCTGCAGTCCAGAGTCACAGCTCTGGAGACTGAGCTCAAGTAAGTTTCTCTTTTACTCTCTGGGAGTTTTCAGTAACAGTCATGCAGAATGCTTCCTGGCAGCCAGATTTGTCCCAGCTGTGCTTGTGACGAAGAGAAAGACCTCTTCTGTAGACCCCTCAATGATCAAACTGCCTTTAAAGGACGTTGTGATTATCCAACAATGTTCAGTCAGGTCATCTGGACATTTCGTTTCGCCCTCCGTCCGAAGGGCTTCATCAATCTGAAAAGTCCCAAACAGTGTTTTCCCCACCAAGCAGTAAACTTCTACAGTGGACCAACCAGTTTGCTGGTGATAAGCAAACTCAACAAAAAAAAAAAGGAACTGTCCAGATGGCCTGACTGAACAATGAACTTTGATGACATCATGGTTAGTGACTTTATTGTGAGAAAATGTTTGGTAGACTGATACCTTTTCATAAAGGTACAAATTGTTATGTGCAAAACATGCCATCAATAATCTGTATGATCGTTTTATTTAAAAAAATGATGCTCATGTGCCACAGGCAAAATTAGAACACAAACAAGCTCAAAGATTACATGTTGTACCTTTACTGACCAGCAGAGGGAGCAAAAGCTAAATGGGAGAAAAGTATTGAAGGACTTTACTGCGTTGAAAAGAGAGAATTTGAACTCTGGAATATATGACTGTGGATTTTGTTTTTTCTTGCAGGAGAAAAACTCAGGCAGCAATGCGTCCAGTTTTAGATTCATCGGCCCTCAGCTCTGATGAGGACGACGACAGCCTGTACGACCCCGCCGCCATCACCTCCATCCTCACCGAGAGCAACCTCCAGACCAGCTCCTGTTAGAGACTTCAGAGGCAGAACGAGAGTAGGAAATCACTACACTGCCTTACAAATAGAAGGAAACAAAATGGAAAGAAACAAATACATAGTTCTCATGTGACGTAACACATTCGGGCACTTTGCCACTAACCACCAGGAGTATTTTTTTTTTTACGACGATCTCGGTGGTTGTTTCACGTTGGGTTAAAGAATATTCCAACTGGGCAGATGGTTCGGCGAAGCACAGTTTTCACTTCATCCCAAAAATCAGGAAATGCGAAGGATCTCAAACGGAGGAGTTGAGTTCAGACTGTTGGCGAGTCTGGCTTGGAAACGTCAACCACAAGGATCCACCTTCAAAAACGTCTTATCTGCTACAATCACTTTTATTCTGGTAAACAAAACATTCTGTATCCATCATTTTGGTAAACTGTCAGAGTATAACTGTGCTGGAAACACTCGCTCTGCCCTCATGGATACATTCCTGTCTTGTAATTCTGAGCGTTAGCTTCATTGGCAGGCCTCAAAATGTCATAAAAATGTTCTAGTCTGTTAACGTGTTATTAGCATCACGGTGGATTAGTGGTTAACACTGTCGCCTCACAGCATGAATGTTCTGGGTTCTAACCCCGAGTTGTGCCTGGGGTCATTCTGTGAGCAGGTTGCATGGTAATATTTAAATTAATTTATTTAAATCTTTATTTAACCAGGCAGCTCTCAGTTCGGACGTCCCTCACAAATAATTAAAACATTGATCGTATGGATTTCAGGCCACAGAGCTCCTCCTCTCCTCGTGTTCAATAAGTAATAACGGTCATAATAAGAGATCAGAGGTAACTTGTTCTCTTTCTCTACCTCCTACTGGTCAGTCTCAACGGCAGTCATTTTCTGGCGATATCTTTCTCTTGCTCATCAGTCAAAAGTTTCAGTATTCTTGGTTTTGGTTTGTCTGAACGCCACCGTGATCGTCGTCGTGTAGCCCTTACTATGATAGCAGGAAAGTGGCATTGTGCGCTTGCGGTTGAGACATGTGGGAACTATGTATTGTTTTTAAACTGGGGGAAACACCAGAGGACAGTATGGTATGCACTGCACACCATGAGGGAGGGCCACGGGCACCTGGGAGCTAAACAACACTAGAGTTTAACGGGAGTAACTTTCCACACCAGAATGAATGTAAGGAAGCAACACATCCTCAACGTTTAAAGGAATTTCCCTTAGTACCCTTTCATTCTGTGCTCATGCACTGCACTATGTAAGGTACTTTTCAAGGTACTCCAGCAGACACACAAGTGCTTGAAGTACAAAATAATAAAAAAATATATATGTTTGCTTTAGCTCTTTTGGTGTTCAGTACAAACTCTGAGCATTTCAGCCAAGAGATGTCTGTATTGTCAAAGCTGCACGCTCTCTTCTAACGGGCAATATCTGCTGATAAAATCCCCTCAACCCAACGGGATTACAAGTTTGTTATTATTAAGGTGATAACGTAAAACTTGCTGTGACACAGTCAGGTCGAAAATCTAAGATGCATCTGCAAGAAAATCACCGTCACCTGGACATCTGCTGCCTGCTCTGCTCAAAATGTGTTGGAGACGGTTTCTGAGAAGAAAAAGTATTTTTGGGACCAAAATAATGCTGTCGGACAAAAACGAGTGAGCTGAGCCAAGCATGAAGACGGAATTACCAGCCAAGCCCTCGCATTATCAAATGATGCTTTGACTTTCTGTAAACCATTAACTTTTTCCCTGTTTGAGTATCATTACTCTCACACGACTGATGATTTGACTACACAGTAAACATTGAATTGGTCACAAACGAACAAGTACTGCAGATAATCCTACACTTCCTAACATTTACTCAGCCGAATCAAAATACTTGATAAACTCATGTTGTATGTGAATTAAATCTACTTTTTGTTTTGAAGAATAAACATGTTGTATATTTCTGTAGCTGTATGTTAAAATGTTTACACCATCTTTCAGTGCTAATTATTATGTAATAGAAATAAATCGCAGAGCAAAGAAAAGCATTTAAATAGATCAACGTGTTTAGAAACCCAAACGGTACTTTCACTTTACTAAACCCCATAAATGTGTTTGAATCGTTGTTTCGAGCACCTGAAGTTCAGCGTGTTTTTATGACTCGAGGACAAAAAGCCGTCTGCTCCTTTGTCGACATTTCATATCCTGAAAAAAGTAGTTTACCACTTCTGATAAGAAATGAAGGCCAAAATGGCACCTGCCAGCTCGATGTCTATGTATGTGCAGTAATTTAATTACAATTAAAGCCTTAAAACTTTGTTGAACACAGATTTGTAGCTGAATTGTCTGAGATTCCTTGATTTTTTTGGCAAAGTTTATTTAAGATTTGTAGATTTTTTTAGATTGATTTTGTTTAAAGTTTGAACAATCAGTTAATAATAAAAGTTTCTGTGGAGTAAAACTTTGGTTTTGTCTTTTCAAACTGGATAATGGTAATAAATATAATTAGATGAGTGTAAAATGATTCTGATTTATGCTGAAATTGTAAATTCTTTACAAAAAATGTTTTTTTTTTCTTTCTATTTAATAATTTAGCAACAATAAATATTTTATGCTGAATGAATCTCTTGTACTGTCGTAGTTTGTGTATGGTGTGAATGCTTATAAAACATTTCCCAGCATCTTTGTGCTAATTTCAGCTGTTTTCAGCAGGTTTTTTTACACTCACTCATTGCTGCTTGTTTTTAGGTATTTTTACGTTAATTTGAGCTTTTTTTCCTGTTTTTTATTTAGCTAATTTCTGACTTGTTTTTTTTAATAATTTCAACTTGTTCCTTTATCCTCTTTCTGCTTAATTTAGCCTCTTTTTTTTTCTCATTTCAATTTTTTGCGATCCGTTCAGCTTTTTCTTCACATTTCTGCCATTTATTTTTTCCCTCTGCTTTCCGCTTTTATTTTCCTGCATTCAGCAAACGGCTGTTCAAGTTCAGCTCGCATTGTGTTTAGTGATGAAACTTTTCAGCCTGGGTTCAGCATCTTCAGCAGCTGTCAGGAAAAACTTGTTCAGTAATGAGCATTCACCCTGCATTTTATAAGGAGATACAGTTTCTCTAGTTTAACTGGTTTTTACATAAGATCCTCACACACCTCAGGAGATCTGGTTGTTTTTTCAATATCTTTCTAATGGAGGACTTCCTGCAGGCTGCAGTCTCATTTGACAGACTGTGAGGGTTTCTTCCTGTTTCTGTCAATTTCTCAGGAATCTCCGCTTCTCTGGAAGAGATCTTTGCTGAAGATCAACTGATCCTACAAGTCATGTATCTCTCATCAGGCACGAGTTCAGAGCTTTATTTTCTTTGTCATAAGATCTAGTAACAGAATCGGGGAAGCTAAAAACAACTCATTATTAAAGCAACACGTTTTAAAGATGGCTGCAGTCTTTCACAGTTGATGTCATGTAGTTGGTGAATAAAGTGGATTCTTTTTTGTGTTTTTGACTGCAGGCCCTTCTTTTGGAAGTACTATTTGTTTATGGGTTGCCAGGTGAGCTGTTCGGTGACACCTGCCTGACCTGAATGTCCTCACGGCTGGTATCTACACCAGGCCGTTTACAGCGGTCTCACATCACAAGTCTGTCCTCTTCATTTGGTGTAGGGTGTTTTAATTGAGCTGATCCAGACTATCTGCACGTTTCTTAAATATAAATCTGTGTTTTATTGTTGCAGCAACAAAATGGTTTACAACAATTTCTGTCAAGTGGACCAACTTTGAAGTTTTAGTTGATCACAGTTTATTTTCTAATTCTGATCTCAAACATTAACATTTTATATACCTCATATGATTAGAGCAAGAGAAACAAATGAGACGGAACCCTAAGTAACCTGTTTGTTGTTTAGGGAGATTAAATAGTTGAATTGATTGAAAATCTTCTAAGAAAACGGGCTGTAAAATGACCACGAGTCACGCCAGCATGGAAGCTCACGAGGACACGAAGTGCAACCACGAGTCCTGATGAGCAACCTCAAATCACAACAAACTGCCTTCTGTGTACTTTTTAAAAGATTTTTATTTATATATATACTTGTAAGAAGTTTTCAACATTTTGTCATCTTAAAAACAACAGAATATCAAAGTTCATCCTCTATAATCCAGGTACAAAATCCAATAAAGTTAAATCAGGTCTGGATGGTTTATTTGTGTTGTATTATTAATAATACTGTATAATAATCATTATTTTTAATAATTATTGAGCATGAACTTTGATGTTTTGAACCACTTTGGCTATGGCTACCTCAGAGGAGTCGCCAGAAGAGAGGGCGGGCTCCAAAACCCATCCTATCACAATCAAACTGGTTGACCCACTATGTGAGTGTGCCGTTTATGGGACCGAGTTTATTGTCGCTCCTCGGACTGATGAAGTCCTTTGGATGGAAGATGAAACGTTTCAACACAAAGAAATTCAAAAAATGTTCAATACAAAAACAACTGGACTTTGTTTGTAACAGAAGACGTTTCGCTCCTCATCCGAGGAGCTTTCTCAATTCAATGAGCCGTGAGTGAGGGGTTCAGGTTATAAGGCTGAGTGAGATAATTCAATTCAATTCAAAAATGCTTTATTAATCCCAGAGGGAAATTATTTGTTGTTGTAACTCGTTATCCTCATTTCATTAAGAGATGTTATAGATGCTGATGCTGTAGACAGGAAGGATCTCTTGTAAAGGTCCATCCCACAGTGGATCCTAAGAAACTGGCTGCAGATGCCGGCCGATCCGTCCACCCAGACTCAGCTGGCCTCTCGGTTCCCCTCGGGCTGTAGGACCGCCCAAACGCTGGGCAGAACTCCTCCCAGAGCGATGGCTGCTGCTCCCAGCAGTCTGCCAAGCTCCTCATAGCTGCGGACAGCCAGCAGTAGGTGCTGAAAGACGATTCTGTCCTTCCGCTGTCATGAGCTGTGTTTCCTGCTAGTTCCAGGATCTCAGTGGTCAGGCACTCAAGCACAGCTGGCAGGTAGATGAGAATCCATCCACAGAACATCCTTTTCAACTCACTTGAGATTTGGGGCTGTAGTTGAGATATTTGAGTTTTGAGATGTTAATCAGCTGTTAGTTGTAGAAAACTGCCTTGTTGCCATGATTACGCATCATAACAAATGTCCAAAACTAAAAAAGTTTCAGTAAAAATCCTTCCAGCTGCACAGCATCTGATACCAGAGGAAACAATCATCCAAAAAATTGTGATTTACATCCAGAAAAAGAGGAATTAAAGTTTCCAAAAGCAAAATCTCAGAATGAAAGTAAC